TTAAGTTAACAATTTAAATCTTTAAGGGATGTTTGAGGACATTTTTCCTTCAGTAGCCCAATTTCTTCCACAGTGGAGGAATCAGAGGAAGAAAGTTATAGAGCAAGAGCAGTGAGGGTCAACATAACTTGATTATTCCTTTAGACTCGGCTGGCACAGTAGTTCATGCCTGTAATCCCAGCACTTTGGGAGGTCAAGGCTGGTGGATCACTTGAGGCCAGAAGTTCGAGACCAGCCTGGCCAACATGGCGAAATCCCATCTCTACTAAAAATACAAAAAACTAGCCAAATGTGCTGGCACATGTCTATAATCCCAGCTACTCAGGAGGCTGAGGCAGGAGAATTGTTTGAATCCCGGAGGCAGAGGTTGCAGTGAGCCAAGCCCGAGCCACTGCATTCCAACCTGGGGAAAAGAGACTCTGTCTCAAAAAAAAAAAAGGAATCTGGGGACGCCCTGAAAGGTCCCATAAGAGGCTGTCCACATTGGTTGTGTCCAGGGAAGAGAACTGAGTGGTGGTAGGCAGGGGAGGGAGGCAGATATTTCTTTCTTTTTTTTTTTTTTTAATTTTTATTTATTTATTTATTTATTTATTTATTTATTTATTTTTTTGAGATGGAGTTTCGCTCTTGTTACCCAGGCGGAGTGCAATGGCGCGATCTCGGCTCACCGCAACTTCCGCCTCCTGGGTTCAGGCAATTCTCCTGCCTCAGCCTCCTGAGTTGCTGGGATTACAGGCACACGCCACCATGCCCAGCTAATTTTTTTGTATTTTTAGTAGAGACGGGGTTTCACCATGTTGACCAGGATGGTCTCGATCTCTTGACCTCGTGATCCACCCGCCTCAGCCTCCCAAAGTGCTGGGATTACAGGCTTGAGCCACTGTGCCCGGCTGGGAGGCAGATATTTCACTACTCAGCCTGGAATCTCCTGTTCCCTATGTATATATTACCTACTTTAAAAACTGACAAAATTTAATCTGAAAAATAATCTGGAGACTAAGGCAGAGAATGTTGTTGTCAGGGGTTAAAGGGTTAAGAAGGTAACTGAAAATCTCATGGTTCAGCCACAAGACAGGTCATGTGCACTGTTACTTGCACTAGGTCTTGGACAGGCAGCAAGATACAGACAGGCTGCTGGTAAGATCCCAGGCCTCATGGACATGACATTTCTAGATTATCTAAGCATACAATTCACTGCTCCTCAAATTGCATATTTACATTAGTATTGAAAGCAGTGACAGAGCCATTACTCAGCCGACTTCCCGAAAGCTGCAAGACCCATAGGGACATGCAGGGGCCAGAGACATTAGCTGACATCAGGAAACATCTCGGCTCTTAAGACTCCTGAAACAGCTGAAGGTCTGACCACCCCATTCCTCCCTAATGACAGAGTCACTTAGCTGAGTCTTAGGTGACAGAAACAATTCAACTCTTCTTATATTTGCTATCTACTTCTCCTTTTTTTGAGACAGAATCTCACTTCTATGCATTTCTTTTTTTCTTTTCTTTTTTTTTTTTTTTTTTGAGACAGTCTCACTCTGTCACCAGGCTGGAATGCAGTGCTGCGATCTCAGCTAACTGCAACCTCCACCTCAAGGGTTCAAGCAATTCTCCTGCCTCAGCCTCCCGAGTAGCTGGGACTACAGGCATGTGCCATGTCCAGCTAATTTTTATATATTTAGTAGACAGGATTTCACCATGTTGGCCAGGATGGTCTCGATCTCCTGACCTCGTGATCCGCCCACCTCAGCCTCCCAAAGTGCTGGGATTACAGGCTTGAGCCACCACACCTAGCCTCCTCTGTACTTCTTTTTTTTTTTGAAACTGAGTTTTGCACTTGTTACCCAGGCTGGAGTGCAATGGCGTGATCTCGGCTCACCGCAACCTCCGCCTCCTGGGTTCAGGCAATTCTCCTGCCTCAGCCTCCTGAGTAGCTGGGATTACAGGCACGCGCCACCATGCCCAGCTGATTTTTTGTATTTTTAGTAGAGACAGGGTTTCACCATGTTGACCAGGATGGTCTCGATCTCTTGACCTCATGATCCACCCGCCTCGGCCTCTCAAAGTGCTGGGATTACAGGCTTGAGCCGCTGCACCTGGCCCGCCTCCTATGTACTTCTATACTGGCACCCTGGGCAACATACCACAGGAAATGAACACTCACGGTATCCTCTCCCCATCAGCCACCCCACTAGATGCTACTAAAATAGGCTGTTCAGGCTGTGGGGGAGAAACAGCCAATCAGAGCTGCAGATTCAGGTTCTTCCACACCTGGAATGGGTGTCATCTCCTTTTTATTACGAGATATCCTGCTGGACATGGCAGCTCATGCCTGTAACCCCAGAATTTTGGGAGGCCGAGGCGGGCAGATCACGAGGTCAGGAGATGGACAGCATCCTGGCCAACACGGCGAAATCCCCTCTCTACTAAAAAACAAAAAATTAGCCAGGTATGGTGACACACACCAGTAGTCCCAGCTACTGGGGAGGCTGAGGCAGGAGAATTGCTTGAACATAGGAGGCAGAGGTTGCAGTGAGCCGAGATCATGCCACTGCACTCCAGCCTGGGCAACAGAGTGAGACTCCGTCTCAAACAATCAATAAATGGAATGACAATATATATTTGTTTAGAAAGGGGATTACTGTGAAACTACCCATTGTATCACAGTCAGTGATAAAAGGATAGAGTTCTTCTATGCATTATCTCACCACGAAGGGCAGAAACCTAGGCCTAAGTTTAACAGTCTGAACTGTGGTATTACAGTAAAATTCTCAGCATACAGCTGCCCCTTAGCAACTGTGGGAGACTGGTTCCAGGGCCTCCCTTGATACCAAAATCTGCACATTTTCACTTTTTTTTTTTTTTTTTTTTGAGACGGAGTTTCGCCCTTGTTACCCAGGCTGGAGTGCAATGGCGCGATCTCGGCTCACCGCAACCTCCGCCTCCTGGGTTCAGGCAATTCTCCTGCCTCAGCCTCCTGAGTAGCTGGGATTACAGGCACGTGCCACCATGCCCAGCTAATTTTTTGCACTTTTAGTAGAGACGGGGTTTCACCATGTTGACCAGGATGGTCTCGATCTCTCGACCTCGTGATCCACCCGCCTCGGCCTCCCAAAGTGCTGGGATTACAGGCTTGAGCCACCGCGCCCGGCCACATTTTCACATTTTTTATATAAATTGGTATAGTATCTGCACATAGCTACACACATCCTCCTATATACTTTAAATCATCTCTAAATTACTTAAAATACCTAGTATAACATAAATGCTATGTAAACAGTTGTTATATTGTGTTTAAAATTTTTTTTAATTTTTATTGTTGTACTGGGTTTTTTTTTTTTCTAAGGCGGAGTCTTGCCCTGTCGCCCAGGCTGGGGTGCAGTGGCACAATCTCGGCTCACTGCAACCTCTGCCTCTGGGGTTCGAGCGATTCTTCTACCTCAGGCTCCCTAGTAGCTAAGACTACAGGCGCTTGCCACCACACCTGGCAAATTTTTATATTCTTTTAGTAGAGATGGGGTCTCACCATGTTGGCCAGTCTGGTCTCGAACTCCCGACCTGAAATGATCCACTTGCCTCGGCCTCCCAAAGTGCTGGGATTACAGGCATGAGCCACAACGCCCAGCCTATTTTTTATTTAAAAAAAATATTTTCCATTAATGTTTGGTTGAATCCGTGGGTTTAGAACCCACACAAAAAGCCAACTGTATACAATCCTATTCCGTGAGGACAGAGACAGCTTCCTGTAAGACGCCTCTTAGAGTGACAGGTGCACACCCAGGTCCTTGAGCAACATCAGCTGCATTATCTACAAGATACTCAAGCTTGGGGGATAGATTGGCATGCCAGCAAATACGGAAGCCACAAGGATCACACCACTGGAGAAGGGACAGGGAAGGTGTTTCCCACAATGTAAGAACCACTTCCACATAGGGGAGTCAAAGAAGAAATAAGTGAGTACGCCAAGCCATACATTGTAAGCCAGCATTCAGCATTCCCCAGAACTAACCAGCCCCACAGACATAGCCACAAGACTTACAGACAAGCATACTGAGCCTGCATATTGCAATGACTCTTGGACACAACTTTACTGAGAACTCATATCATCAATGTGATCCCAGCCCAGTTCTCTTCAGAAATAATCGAACTGAAAACACATGCTATAAGACATGCTAGTAGATCTCTGTCCCTCTTGGCACTTAAACAGAGTTTTTACTATGTTGATTTCCATTCACTCAATTTTGGTTTGTTTCCTTCCATATGTTTCCTATATGTATCCTAACTCTCCATTAGTCTGGGGCTCACTGGGGGCATCGACATTTCTTTCTCTGCATTGCACAAAAACAAACAAACACAGAATGAACACATCAATAAACCATACTAAGTGTTTCCCCTCACAGTTGAAATATGTCCGCACCTAATTACTCCATCCACAGAGTTCTTGGATTTAAAAATGCAACCAGTCTCACCTTCGCTGACATGAAATATTTACATTCTTCCTCAAATTTGTTTTGCTCTAAAGTCTTGAAATCACTTTCTTAATTCCTTGCCAAATGGATACTGGATATTCATATTTAAAAAGTATTTCTCCATATTGTATTTCAGAATCTAGTTCTTGGTAGCAACTAGTAAGGCCTACTTCCTGACCTCAGGCAGTTTATTAAAAGTGCTCAGGCTTTATGATTCATTTCCATGGATTAGAACCCAGGGGCCTAAGTCACTAGCCCCCAAACCTGTTTTGAGATATTTCAATTTTATTTAAAAGGCCCAAGGATCAGGGCTTTGCAAACAAATGTTGTTCGCTATAATTCCACTTGACTCTCCCTCCTGCCGTTACTAGTGGCTGCAAGCCCAGCATGGCCTCCGAAAGCCCTGCAACTATATACCACTCAGGCTGGGGTTGGCATACCCGCTTATTGCTGTAGCTCCCCAGAGAAAGGGAAGGACCTGTCTAGGGGAGAAAGAGTCCAGAGGAGTCCTGTGGCAGCACATATTCTTACCGCATCGAACTCCGCTTGATCATCCTCAGGTAGGTCGCTGGTTTCATAAACATCTGGCTCATTCCTGGCCTGCAGGTAGAAGCAGTGACCACCCAATCTCACTACCCGGCATCCAACAACACCCCTTACCCCACTCCATTTGAATAAGCTATCGGAGAAGACAGGGTGTGATGCCAGGGTTCTGTCCTTTCTCCTCCACCCGCCCCGTGAGTCAACAGTATGTCAGTTCCCCCTGCCTCAAGGGGTAGGGATAACAGAGGAGACAGTTGGGACCTGACGGTAAACAGTGACTGTAAGTGATAACAACGATGTTACCCTAAATCTAGAGGCGGGCAGGTCCTTGGCAATCAGTATTGCCGAAGAAGGTGAGGGCTATCCTCCAATTAGGCCCAGAACACCACTTCCCTGGTACAAGGATTGAGAGTGACTCAGAACCTTAGTATCCAAGGTCCTGTGTCCCAACCCCCCACCTTGAGAAGCAAGCAGGGCAGCGCAAAAGGAAGGAAGGAAGGTACACGCCAGAACTGTCATGCTGGAGGGGCGAGGGCACCGGTTCCCCCAAGGATAGAGCTCCCTATCTGGCACAAGAGGGTTCTGCCACAGTAACCACTTCGTTGGCAGGATGAAGGCCATCACTAAGTGGCCTGGTGTGTGTGTCTGGGGTAGGGATGTAGGAGTCTTAATGGAGAGGTTTTGGGAGGCACAGGCGGCGTTGACAAGAATGGTGGAAACACTCGGGCACAAGCGGTCAGTGCCCAGAGAAGATATCTGGGCCGAGCTACCGGCGCCTGCCGGAAAGGTGGCCTGGTGCGCCGTGCGGCGGCCCGGCCCAATCGGGTCAGCAGAGTTCGGAGGGTGCTGCGGCCGGTCGGAGAGCGAGCGGCGGGAGACCTTGGGCGGAGGATGGGCTGCAGGCGGAAGGGGTCGCGGGCTGCTTTCTGTTGGGGGTCCTTGGGAAGTCGGGGGCGCGGTCCTGGGGAGCCGGGGCCGGCCCTGTACTCACAATGCCGGGAAGGTCGGCGTATTTAGGGTCCGCCATGGCGGCGGCGAGACGGGGCTGGGGGACCGGGGCCTCAGTAGAGCTGGGGACGGTGTTCGGGTAGGGGAGAGGCTGGGTTCAGGTCCCCGGCTAAGGCGGCGGCAAAGGGAGCGGCCGATGAGCAGGAAGTCTCGCGACAGGAGTAGCACAGCAGAAGGGTAGAGCAAAAGTCGCGAGAACAGCTCCGCTGCCACACCCCTGGAGAGACCAGGATTGGGGAGAACGAGGCCAGGGAATGAGGTAATGGCCAGGAGACGCCGCCTAGGATTGTGGGATGTGTAGTTTTGGTGTAACGGGGCTTGGGCGGGGAGCGACAATAACGAACCTTGGGGAGGTATTTCATCCAGCGTTTTCTCTCACTTTTACACCAAGTCAGGGAAAGGACATTTATAATTCCCGTTTTGGGCTCCCAGGAATTAAATGACTAGATTAAATCATGCAGCTAGTCATATTGTGACACAGCCAGGGTTTCAAAAACAACAAGAACTTTGCTTGATACTGTTTCTTATCAAAATAAAATAAAAATAACAATAAGTAAAATTTAGTAAATACTTAGTGTATGCTAGGAATGAAAAAGTTAGGCAATCTTCTCAAGTAAGGGCTTTCAAATCATTTGAATTTCAGATAAGAAGTTGGTGTGTGTGGTGTGGTATGTGTATGTATACTAACACAAAAAATTATGTATCTGAAATTCAAAATTTTTTTTCTTATTTATTTATTTAGAGATGGAGTTTCACCATGTTAGCCAGGCTGGTCTTGAACTCCTGACCCCAGGTGATCCGCCCCCCTCAGCCTCCCAAAGTGCTGGGATTACAGGCATGAGCCACTGAGCCTGGTCCTGAAATTCAAATTAAGCTGAGCATCCTGTTTTTGTTTTTTGTTTTTCAAATCTGGCAATCCTATCTGAAGTTCATAAATAGGTAAGCGGTGTCTCCATGTCTGTCTGAACACTCTCTGTGCTCTTAACCATTTCGTTTATAGTTCTCAGACTTTTATTTATTTTTAAATTTAAAAATTTTTTTAAATATTGTGGATATACAGTAGACGTATGTATTTATGGGACACATGAGATATTTTGATACAAGTATGCAATGTGAAATGACCATATCATGGAGAAGAGGGTATCCATCCTCTCAAGCATTTATCTTTTAAGTTACAAATAATCTAATTATACCCTTAAGTTATTTTAAAATGTACGATTAAGTTATTCCTGACTATAGTCACCCTATTGTGTTATCAAATAGTAGGTCTTATTATACTTTCTATTTTTTTGTACCCATTCACCGTCCTTACTTCCCTTTGTCAGACTTTTAAATTTTATGATTCAATAAAATTAAAACAACTACAAATCTTAAGGACAGACATAGCATAGCATCGTTACTTTCTATCACCATCATTACATTGGTAGAAAAGCAGGAAGGACACATTCAGAATAAAAGACAGTCCTTTGAATCTTACCAAATCTAGCTTTATCAAAAACAACAACAACAACAACAACAACAACAACAACAAAAAAACAAAAAAAAACAAAAAAAACAACAAAAAAAAACGAAACCAAAAAACTCACCACATCGTTCTTTTGGAGGTGGGGCATACTCAGTGAACTTTTGTCTCTGACCGGTGACCCTCCAAGGACCGGCATTTTGAAACTCCTTTACTACAGATGCCACCTTGGAGCCTCTGGGGGCCCAAGGATGGAATGTTTCCTGGGATGTTTCCTGAGCTTGCAGGATGCTGCAACACTTAGAAATCGTGCCAACCCAAATGACTATTGAGTTCTTGAGTTTGGAACTCATTTTCTTTCTCCAGGCTCCTCCCCAAGTCTCTATCCCTTTCTCCATAGTACTACATATCTCCATAGTCCTATCCTGTTCCTTACGTTGGACTCGTTTCTTTCAGTTCCCTTAAGACTCAAGGTGGGTTAGAGGTGTAACCCGGCTTAGCTGAGTTCTGAGTAGTCAGGTCTTGTCTGGCCAGCTGTCAGCGTCTTACTTTTGACCCATAGTGTCTAAGTGACCTTAAACACTCACCAGACAATTGCTGAGCAGAACTTTCCTCTCCTCCTCCCTTTTCCCATCCACCCTGCCCTTTCCCTTGGCCTAGAACCTCAACTCCTGCAGTCCAACTCTGTTGGTCAGCAGAGGCCTGTGACGTGGAGAAAAATCAATTTGGCCAGCTTCTTGGTGGTTCTTTCCAGGGGCTGCAGCAGGCGTCTGACCCAAAGGGAGGAAGGACAAGGAATCTCTGGGCTTGGCACTTCTTTTGTTTTTCTTCCCCCACATCATTTTTTTGGGGGTTGTTGGGTGGGAGCAGGGGCTGAGGTGTTGGGACTCTATCCTCCAATGGTTACTGAGACAGGAAGAAACACACACACTGAACTTGCCTGAAACCCAAATGCAGGTGTTTGCCTTAGATTTCAAAGTCTCTCTGACCTTACGCATCTCCATCATTGCCCCTCCTTCACTGCTTTCTGACTCCCTTTCTTTTGCAAAAATGTTTCCTGCCCACCTTCATCCCATCCTCAACCGAGGACACAAAAATAAGAATTGTGTCTGGTTTTGAATTCCCATAACCCAGAATGGGAGTTTGTCTTCCCTGAAACTGGGGGCCTGGTGTGTACGTTGGGGAGACAGTAGAGTGCACCTTTGGATGTGGAAGGGGAAGGGGGTAGCCAGAACCTTCCTGAAACTCATCTGACACCCACTTCCATAGGACTACAGGCAGCGGTCCCCCAGAAGGCTGAGTGAGTTAGGAGTCCAGCTTCCGTGCGTGTGGGGTGTGGGATGCGGTAAGGGGAGAATAAGTGTGACCTCAGTTTGAAGAGAGGACTGTGACGGGTTGGGGGATGCCCTGGAATAAAGGGAGTGGGAGATCTGCTGACCCTTTTCCCTACACAGGCGACAGGCCCGTCTCAGTCCCCTTATCCCTTCCCGGGGGTGGAGTCTGAGGGAGGGACAAACGGGTCGGGGGTTGTGGGGGTGGGATGCAGTAGGTGAGTTGGGTGGGGAAGGGTCTAGGGCGAGGTTATCTCCCAACGTTAGGGGTGCGGGAGGGAGGAGAGGGGCGGTGAGGTCCCACCCTTCGGGGGTCGACGTCGAGCCAGCGCCCCCAGCGGAGGGAGCCCCGCCCCCGCTCCTCCATCGCGGCCCCGCCCAGGCCCGCAGCGCGGCGCTGCAGCGCGAGGGGCGGAGAGGCAGAGCGCCCGAGAGGACCAGACGCCCAGGTCGCCCGCATCCCGCTGCCGCAGGAGCGAGACAGCGCGCCCCGGCCCTGCTCCCCAGGCTTCGCCCGGACGCCCTCAACTCTGCCCCCAGAGACCGAGCACCTGTCTCGCCTCGGCCTCAGCTGAGCGCCCCCTCCTCTGGAGCACACACCACCCTTGCAACCAAGAAGTGTCCCAGCCCCACGCCGGCGACGACCATGGCGGAGACCAACAACGAATGTAGCATCAAGGTGCTCTGCCGATTCCGGCCCCTGAACCAGGCTGAGATTCTGCGGGGAGACAAGTTCATCCCCATTTTCCAAGGGGACGACAGCGTCGTTATTGGGGTGAGTGTCGCCCAGGAGGGAATTCGAGGAGGGGGCAGGTGACTGAATCTTTCCCCCACGCAGAGCCGTTCGTCTCTGCCTGTCCCTCTGCGCCCCCTCCCCGCCGCTCATCCTTCATCCTCTTCCCCGCAGCCCCTCCTCTCCCCTGCATCAGGATGGCTGGGTGTGGCCTGGCCAGGCCAGCGGCCGAGTCTCCGCAGAGTGCAGGGGGCTACTTCCCTACCATCGGGAGACCCAGCTCCCCTTTGCTGCTCCCAGCAGCATCTCCGCCCCTTAGAGCCAGTCCCTGTGTTTTTCTGATGTTTTCCCCTTCTCCATCTCCCCTCCCCTAGAGAAAGCTCATCTTCCCTTTGTTATTGGCTCAGATCTCTACCCCCACCTCTCAGGAAGGTAGGGGTAAGACTATTGGGTGGGTTAGATGGGAGGTGAACAGTCCAGGGTCTCTGCAGAGATGTGCATGGGAGTAGACTCTGAGATCAAATCCTCCATCATTCCCTAAAGTAGTTATAGCCTGAATTTTTGTGTGTGTGTTGGGGGGAACAGGTCTGATGACTGGTTTACTGGGAAAGAAATGCATTGATGCCACACCCAGTCTTGGGGGGAGCCTCTGGAATCCTAAGATCAGATCTGCCTTTCAGTCTCAGGTACAGTAGGAAGAGCGTTTCAGATTCCCCAACTGACCCCCCAAAGAAAAATGCCCACACCCTGAGATCCTAGTAAGTACTTGCTTATTCATCATTTCCCTTGAGGATCCAATAAAAAGTAGCCATCCACCTCTATCTCATCAGGACAGCCCTACACAAGGAGAATATCTTAAGGGAACTAATATTTATAGTGGGCCTGTTATTCTAGGTAACCCCCAAAACTACACTTGGAAGTAGTATCGATATTTCCATTTTACAGATGCAGAAATTGAGGCCCAAAGAACTTGAATAACTTTCTCAAGGTCATGCTATAAATCCATGGATCTGAACCTCAATCTGTGACTGCAAACCTCCCGTCTCTTCCTGTCACATCGTGTCCCCAGGTTTCTGTTCTGCACCTTCATCTGTAATGGCCCAAAGGGAAATTCTAGGCCTTTCGCACTTCCCCTTTCCTAGGTTGGTAGGGACCTCAGGCTGTGTGTGGGGAGAAAGGATCTGGGGTTGAATCCTGTAGGGCTTGAGGGGTGCGAGGCCAGGAAGCGAAAGTCAGCTTGAGAAGGGAGGGGCAGGTATGAGGGCAGTCAAGGTCAGAGGTGCTTCTTAGGTATCTTTATCCACAGTGCTTGGCACAGAGCACCTGGAAACAGGTTTGTTAAAGGAAGGCAGGAAAGAAGGGGAGGAAGTCTGGGCCTTCTGAGTCAGTGAGCATGGGACTTCGAGTAAACACACCTCTGGGGAGACCTGCTTACCAGTCCCCCAGAGCCCCAGTGTGTCACCACCCTGCACCCTTACCCACACTGTTAACTCAGATGAGTGCTTTTGTCTGTGTCTCTGTGTGTGTGTGTGTGTGTCTGTGTGTGTGTGTGTCTGTGTGTGTGTGTGTGTCTGTGTGTGTGTGTGTGTCTGTGTGTGTGTGTCTGTGTGTGTGTGTGTCTGTGTGTGTGTGTGTGTCTGTGTGTGTGTGTGTCTGTGTGTGTGTGTGTGTGTCTGTGTGTGTGTGTGTGTCTGTGTGTGTCTGTGTGTGTGTGTGTCTCTGTGTGTGTGTGTGTGTGTGTGTGTGTGTGTGTCTGTGTATG